TACTTACTGATTCATATGAAGTATTTTTGCTTTACGCCTTTACATTGTGTGATTTTCCTGCAGTGTCAATGCACGATAAAAGGAAGTTTGAGATTCCATCAACTTTTATGATTTACCTCACTACCTTTATGGAAATTATAAATTAAAATGCAGGTGGAATTTGTGACTTCCTTCTGGTCGTCTTTTTAAGTGAACTCAAAAGTAGGACAGGGAGCCTCTTGTTTATCCTATGACTTCTTAGAGCGCATCTATTACTATTTTCTGTCATCTGAGTATTAGCTTATTGTTATTATAAGGCTAAGCTAGTAAAGATAAGCCATGTGATATACTTAACTTTTTCTAAATAATTTTATTTTTAATATTTCACGTTGCTTGCTTTATTTTCATCTTGTTCAGATTCTCGAGTGGCCTGAGTGTTCCGTGCAAGGAAATAGAGATGAAGACCAACAGCTAAAGGAAAGCATCACTTCGGGTTTTAGTAATCCTGTAGTCAATTCAGTGGAAATGAGTTCCGACGGTTACTATCTTGCCGCTGTTACCGATAACAATCTTGTTTGCATTTGGCGTTATGCACCGCCACAGACTCCACTTCCTGCAACCACTCTTCCGCCAGGAAGTGCAGCTGCTGTGGCTGCAGCCGCAGCTGCCGCTGCAGCCGGCCCTCAGCCGACTTCGACACCCACTGCTAACATGCCTATGTCAATACCAATGCTTTTATCTAGTACTTCCGGCTCCACAGCTGTCACTTCTGCTGGCATGCTTTCTGCTAATGGACGACCTGCCCATGCATTGCTTAGTGCTCACTATACTGGAGCCTCAGGATCTGTTGATGTTGGACTTTCGGCACACGATTTATCCATTGCAGTGGGCCCCGCCTCTGGTATAGCTTAGAAATCCTGAGATTTTTCACTATCTAAATATGATTACTTCTCAATGGATCATGACGTGGTTCGATCTGCCTGTCATGATAAATGGTCACCAAAGCATTGGCAAAAGGACCTCCTAAAATCGAGTTATATCCGGATGCATTCTATTTTTCACAATTTTTTTAGATGGAATACCTCTATTTTGTCTTGTACAGATGCTGTCTCATTCATGCCCGGCCCTTATTTCGGACCCTAATGTATCTACTCCTTACGCCTGTCTTTTCTATTTATTTTCGTCCTGACTTTTGTGCTGCTCCACTAATCATGGAATTTTCATGCTCTTTACTCCTTATCTTTTCCTATTTTTACTTGACCATTTCGGTCACTCCAAGCGATCCTTGTAACCGCCGCCTTTAGCGTGAGATTTTTCTTCCTCTGCATTTATGACTATCGTTTAGAAAATGCATTGTTTATCATGGCGACTTTTAGCTAGGGATTTTGTATAAAGTGTTTGTTCTTCGCTAATCTGTTAGGCCACTCCCCTTTGTAATAGTCATAATAATATCATTACTCCTTTTCCGTTCACACATACATGTCAATATACATCTGGTCTATCTTAAAGAGGCTTTCTTGTGTAAATTAATTGTATACATTATTATGCTTTCTTTATACCTGTATTGATATTCTTCCCCAAATAACCAACATTTTCAATCAGAATAAACAATGTTCGTCCGTAGAAAATTTGGGTGCTATTTCGTATGCTGGCCTCACGGCAGACTATTAATAGATTTACTTGAGCCAGCCTGGTTTTGCTTGCCTGTTTTTTGCCTAAACTCTATTAGAAGATATATTAGTAGGATTTTAAGACATCTTCATGTTGGTAATACAGGTGAATAGTTGGAAGCTTACACGAGAGTACTGATGGTGCTTTTCAGGGCACTCACTGTTGCCTTGATATTTGGCCATTAGATAATATTAATAATTTTCAATCTAACTCGTATGTCTCTTAAAAATCGCTTTATATGCCGTCCTAAATATTGATGGGCTCGCTAATCCCTTTTCAGAATTTAATAAAAAAGTGGCTACCCTTATACTTACGTTTGTGTATATGTTGGGCAAAATGAGTATCACGAAATTTACTTTTAGTTATATGTCTATGAGTACCTACGGCCTTCTTATATTTCATACTTAATAAACTATTGGCCATTGAATCATTAAGTCACTGGTCATCACCAAGGAAGATATATGCAGCTGTGTGAAGCCTTTTTTTCGTCTACAACGTGCTTTAGTAAACTTAGGGATTGCTTCGAGTTATTGCGAAACTAATGCTCTGTCTAGTCTCAAGGACTGATGACTTGTCTTCGGAGGGCAGAAGGGCAAGTTTGGTTGTCAGTATTTTATGGCGTTTGGATCCCCTCCTAGGGAATGGCCAGATAGGTCCTAGACGTCGCTCTCTTCTAGCTTGCCTGTTGTTAACTGAAATTCTTTTTTGGGATAAATCGTTCTTGTCCTATTGTTAAGAGGGTAAAGCTATGCAACATAAGAAGTTGCTTGTCCCATGGCTATTATAATTTCGTTCTATTTTGCCTTCAAAATTGGCTTTTGCACTTTCTACCTCATCATTCTAAAAACTTTAATACTACATTATATTTTACTCAGTCGCGCCCTAATGTATGCAGATTGGCAGCTATGGAATGAGTAAATGCGTCGTGTGTTCTCGAGTCCGTCCATCACATGCATAACTCGTTTAGGGACTTATCACAGAAGGGACAATGGCGATTGTGCTCGGGAATCCGTTACTTTCAATGCAAGGAGAAACTACGCGCAGAAGCTCATTTACTTTCTGCATAGAACTAAGTCTTTGTATTGCTATTTGATCGTTTAAAAAGAGACGGTGGTTAATCCTCAGCCTAATGATCTATTAACATAGCAGACCGCCTGCACTCGACCCTATGATGATTCGTTGATATTTCACGAGCAACACTACTTATCATGTTCACTATGGTTAAGGATATCTGAAAATGTGCACTCATCGAGGTCCTCGTAATAACATGTCTAAAATGATGTAAAGCCTTTAATATACAGTGACAAAGGTAAGAGCCACACTATCTTGGTCGTCATACCTTCAATGGTTTATCTTCTTTCGGATAAGCTTATCAAAGACCTTTAGTCTCGCGTACTTATTTGGTAATATATATTTATGCTGAC